TCTGTTTCTGGAATAAACTTCATAATACGTTTAATTATAGCTATACTTGTAGTTAGTTTACTTTTTATGTTATCTAGTTGGGGTTCCCAGGATAGTTCATGGTCTATGATAACACCAAGGAATCTCACTTTATCTACTCGTGTAAGCGTGTTGCCTGATAACGTGAGTGAGTTCTCAGAGCCATATTCACGAGCACGTGCACAGGACGAGTACCGGCCAGGTCTGAATAACATGTAGACCGATTTGCTTTGGTTAATGTGCAGCAAGTTAGATTCCATATAGTCATTTACAGATTCAAGTACTTTATTAGCATTCAAATAGGCTTCTTGTTCAGTTTTTCCAGCAACAAATATGTTCGTGTCATCTGCAAACAGTATGAAGTGTCCAAGTTTGCTAGAGTTGGTAATGTCATTAATGTAGAGTAAGAAGAGGAGAGGGCCTAGAACTGATCCCTGTGGTACCCCATATTCAATTTTGCAGTGATCAGAGTGTGTATTTTGGAAATCAACATACTGCTGTCGGTTACACAAATAGCTTTCAATTAGGTCAAGACAGGGCCCTCTTATGCCATAGTGTTCAAGTTTGACAAGTAATTTTCTGTGGTCGATTGTGTCAAACGCTTTGCTTAAGTCAATGAATATGCCAATTACATGATTCTTACTTTCTAGGTTTTTAAGAATGTGGTCAATGGAGTAATTGATGGCATGTGCTGTTGAGTGGTTGGATCTGAATCCAAACTGTTTATCGTATATGACCATATGTGAAGTAAAGAAGCTATATAGTCGGCAGTAAATTACTTTTTCAAATATCTTACCAAAGATAGGTAGAATGGATATAGGCCTGTAGTTATCAAACAGCTGTGGGTCTCCTTTCTTAAATACGGGGGTGACCTTACCTATTTTGAGAATATTTGGAAATAGACCCAGCTTCATGAATGAGTTTAGGAAACCAGCTAGGTGTTTAGAGATTGTAGTGCAACATTTCTTAAGAACAGCTATTGATATGTCACTAGCCTTGTCACCCTGGAAGGTTTTAACAATTTTTTCGATTTCCTCAGAATCACAGGGGTTTAAGAACATACTGTTGGTAACTCTTTTGTTAAAGTAGTTCTTATAATTAAGGGGCCTCTGGCAAGCTGTGTCACGACTTATTGGTTTGGAGGAGCAGAGCTTCGCATTAAGTTTACCTGCAATGGAAGAGAAGAACATGTTAAAGCCATTCGATATGACACGCTTGTCTTTTACTAAACTACCATCTATTTTGAACGAGGCCTTTATTCCAGTTTTTGTTTTTCCCCTCAGTTCATTGATCAGTGCCCATGTTTGCTTCATATTACCTGAGACTTTTGAGAATTTTCTGCAATAGTACAATTTCTTGGCAGATCTGATAATGTATTTTAACTGTCGACGGAATTTACTATAGGTTAAGTATAGATCAGAGTCTCCAAGAGGGTTGGGTTCCTTAATTGTACTCTTCCACTGCTTGTAAAGATATTCTTTCTTTTTCACTGATGCAATGATCCCTGGTGTGATCCAAGGGTTTGCAATCATATTTCTTTTTGACTTTTTGAACGATTCAGATTCAATTAAAAAGTTTTCTTCGATCAAAAGTTTTATCTTATTTGCAAAAATTTCAAAGTTTTCTACGTTGTAGCACACCTGCCCACAAAAATTTGTTTGAATATCTTCTATAAACTTGGTCATATTAGATTCACAGTAGTCGTATTTTGGTTTACAAGGGTCAAGTTCTGGTTCTTCAGGCATGCTACATTCGAGAATACAGAAAATTGGAGAGTGATGCGAAACCCTGGTATCCAGTAGTCCAGCTGACACAATATTGTCAGTGGAGTTTGTCAGAATATTGTCAATAAGCGATGGGACACAGCCTGGTTTATGGTGCGTTGCCAGTGATATAAGTGGGATGAAGTTATTTCCATATAAAATGTTTTCAAAGCTGGCAGAGCCTTTATTAAATAGATTAAAGTTGAAATCTCCAAGCAGGATAACGTTCCTATCAGGAACCTGATTAAGAAGGCTCTCAAATTCGTGTAGGGCATCTTTGTCAGATCCACCAGGTGGTCTGTATAGGACGCCAACTGTTTGGAGCCTGCCAACATTTGTTATGGAGACAAACACTGATTCAAGGTTAGGGGTACACATACATAGTTTGTCAATACGGGTGTAAGTAAGTGACTCATTGATGTAAATTCCCACTCCACTACCTTTAGATTTGTCACGTAATTTATTGGTGTATTCAGAGAGATAACCGGGTATCCTATACAAGTCTTTGAGGTTTGCATCAATATTTGTCTCAGCCAAGCCAATAAACGAGAGTGGATGACTGTACTGTGAGATTTCTGTGACAAATGTATCAAAATTTGCAGCATTTCCATCAATATTGTTAAAAATACCAGTAAGGTTCTGCCCATTTCTATGATACAGCTTTATGAGGTTCTTAAAGCTTTTATGATCATAATTTTTACAGCTTTTATGGATTTCATTGATTTCAGAAACATCTTCAATTTCATCAAGGTGGACTGGGTCATGTTTGTCACGTATAAGTGCAGAAGCAAATGGGCAGTACCGTTGTGGTAAGCTGGCGATGCAGATGTAGCATTGCCAGCTATCATTGGTGTGGGTGTATTGGAAGAGATTTTTGGCACATTTAGAGTGAGTAACTGTTCCACAGGAGCTACAGTTCAAAATTTTGTGGTGTGTTGAGATAAATTTATTGCATCCCTTGCAAACATTCTTAGTAATTTGTGGTTGTTTGATCATCATAATTATGGTGGGCGCCTACCACCCTCTACCGCTCCGCCGAAGTTCCCCTGACTGGTGTTAAAACGTGCTCTAGACTGGCTACTCCTTCTGCCAGCTACAGATTCCTTAATATTCGCAGCAAATTTACGGATACCACTTTTACCAAGGTGGACAATATCTGAGGTAAGAGGGCCATTTGCAGCAATATCCCATCTGCCATACTCATCAGAGAGCTGGCGACCAAAAATAGAGTTATCAATAATAAAAATGTTTCTTTGCTGATAAGACACATCGAGGATGCCCCGATTAAAGCTTTCAACTTTTCTATTTAGAGAGTTTAGTCTAGTTGGAAGTAACATTGACAAGTGGATTTTGGATTTGGGGTAGGTTTCAGTAATGTCTCTGCACTTGGATTCGAGGACATGGAGTAGGTAGGCTTCTGATCGTGGATGAGACCGGGAGTTAATACTGTTGATTCCAGTATGGATGACAATATTACGGTAAGGGCCAATCTCAATTGCATCAGGGAGAGCCTCCATGTGACCTACCAAAACACGCTTCCCAGGGACCCAACGACCAAAGGTACCTACTGAGTCACCAAATGTCATCCTGGAGGTGTTTGAATCACCCAGAATGATGGTCGAATTGATGAAGTGAGGAGAAATGTGTCTAAAGGTCAGGCTCACTCTCTCTGTGGAGACATTCTCGTCTGGGAGGATCCCGTGTTTCCAAAAGTCCTGCGCATATCTCGTTGTGACTAACAAGCTGTTGTCCTGAAGGGGGAGATCTTCTGATTGGCTGTCATCATTATTGCAGAAGGACATGGTACGGGCAGCTCCTAGTGAGATCGTAAGGATGTGAGATTCGGGATCAATCACAGGCTCATCATCTCTGTGCATTGGAATGTGGTTAGCACCAGAGCTATACTTACTAATGAGACACGAGTTAATCTTGATATTCCTATCATTCACTGGAGAAGGTATTTTAGGAACAATTGTGTCAATAAGCTTCTTCAGCACGTGCGGCATTTCTCTTGCTGGGTGCTCAGTGCCAGTGTACCTATACGAGAAGTCACCAAAGTACATTACTTCACGAGAGTTCTCACCAACACTAGTAAATTCGCTACAGTTACCACTGATGAACGCTTGGACTTCCTCCTTAAGTTCTGGTGTAAGGGCTAGAGGGTCATACATTTCATAGGGCTTGCACGGTGTCACATGTTTCTTTGTGTGTGGAGAGACAGTATTAGGTAGGGGAGGGGATGTGGGACCAGGACCATGGTTAGGCTGTGGCATCCTGTTTGGTGGAGGCAGAGGGCTGCTACTGCTTCTGTTGCCAAGCGACGACTTCATGGATGTGACTTGTTCAGTCAGGTGTAATAGGCTGTTTTGGATGCTAGTGACAGCTTCAGCTGTCAACAGGGTCGTGCTCTCTGGGTGTGGCTGGTCAACTCTATGGAAGGCAGACTCACGGAGGCCTTTTATCTCTTGCTGTAGCATGTTCAGTTTCTCTGTGACATCATCATTAACCAACCCCTGGTTTGAAGAGCGTTCGCTAAGACATAATGCAGTGACAACCTCCTTAGTTGAACGGATGTCAGCGTAGAGGGATGAAGGTACCTTACTAAGTGCGGGACAGACATAACAGCTTGGGCACTCCCACAGTTCCATTTTCTTAATATCTGATGGTGAAAGGCCGAGTAGATTACTGCACCTATTATGCCATTGCTGTTGACACTTGTTGCAGGTGATGTAGGTTGAGTTTTTGTCACTCTTCTTGCATGGACACTTCTTTTTGTTTTGGGTAGGAGTTCTCTTGTTTTGAGAAGGTGTGCTCTTGGCACTTGCACTAGGAGTACCCTGGTTTGATGGGGTTTTGGGGACAAGGCACTCTGCATCAAAGAATTTGTCTCCAGTAACATCAATGGGGCTTTCTGGTATGACAGTAGGAGATTCGGTGTTACTCTTCAGTTGCTCCTTGAAGAGGGAAACTCTTGATTGAGGTGAGTCATAGAGGCTGTTATTCGGATCGTTGGGTGGAGCCTTGTGAGGACGAGCATTCCGTAGAGATCTATCGTGTACCATGATTATGAGAAGAGGCGGGGGCAGCCGGTGGACCGTTCGGGGTGGTGTCCCGTCAGACAGGCCTCAGGACTTGCTTGGATTAGATTGGCTCACTCCAATGTTAAGACTGCGTCGTCACCACTAACCAGTAGATTCATCATACATGAACTGTAGGCACCTCAAATTATTTGTTATATAGTAGTGTTGAAAGTATTAAAACACATTTGTAAATAACTAGAATTGTGTAACTTTAAATTATTTCAGAATTATAACTATTGTGAATTCAATAAAATAATTATCACTTTTGTATCCTTGTATCCTTGTATCCTTGTATCCTTGTATCCTTGTATCCTTGTATCCTTGTATCCTTGTATCCTTGTATCCTTGTATCCTTGTATCCTTGTATCCTCCTATATACAAACATAATAACATGCTGTTGTATACTATGTCTTGCTGAAAACAGTATTATTCATTAATTTAAAATTGTTCACTAATTTAAGTATGGAGACATGTGACTTTCCTGACTTTCCTGTCTATAGTACTGAGGGACTGTACTGTCCGATACCAGAATATACGTAAGTTGAGATTTTTGTACACTTTTTTATTTATTTGTGAGGATAGCTGATTAGATACTGTACATAAAGTCAGTAAAGGTCGCCTAAGTCTGAGGACTTTGAATGTTTCCATCAAGCAGTTGTATGAATACAGATTGTGGATGGAATAGATTCTATGATCCTTGAAAAGCGGGAGAGGCCGCGGCCGGGGGGTCGGGCCGGGGGGCAGGGAGATTCTATACCTACATTAAAAATACCTGCATTTCAGATCGAATTGGCTGGAGGTTGGTCTAATCTCCTTGTGTTTACTTGTTTGGGTCTCATTTTGCTGTTTGTGGTACTATGAAGGACCAGTTCCCAGATCGGCTTTTATTGTTAGATCATTAGTACCTATCTCAGTTATCTACGAGTTAACTCTTTTATGGAGCCAGAGCACAGGAAATGAAGCACTCTATCACTATCAGTATGTGGTTTACATCGTGATACCGCTCTCATTGGTAATGCTGCGTTTTAATACTGATAAGGAAACAAACTCTCTTTTGTTACCATTGATAATCGGTTTGTTTGCAGAGGCTATATTCTATACCCCCTTTGGTGCTTTTAGACAACGAGGAGGACAATATGGCAAGATGTGGAGATCAGGGTCTACTTTCTATAGTTGTTGGTTACCACTATGTTATGCAATACTTTATGGAAACCTTACTTGTGTGGTTATTGTGTTCCTACCTATAAAATTTACTCAAGAGATACTTGAAGGGCTAAATTTGAACTACCTCACTACCAGTATTTCACCAGCCTTTTCTCTGTTACACAACATCTTAAGAGGATTTACTAATTTCTTTGCTATCCTTGGATTGACCTATATTACCTTATTGTGTCATATTGGGTCTGTGATCTACTTTAGCTATCAAGGCAACAGTGGAGGAAGATTACCGGAAAATACGTAAGTCCTACATTTAGAATCAAACTTTGTTTCCGTTAATTTATGCATCATGGGTGGCAGCGCATAGTGGCATGAAATAAACTCTATTATATAGCAAATAATTATAAACTTTGCTGATAAAACATTCTTCTCAGATTTAAGTCATTTAAGATAAGATGCAAATTAATCATCCAGAAATTCGATAATCTAAAAAGTTACATGATGAGTTGTGAATATTCAGATTCAGATATTAAGAATTAAATATTAAGAAATAAAATGTAAAGCTCACAAAACGATTAAACGTTTTCTAAACATTTAAATGATATTTCAGGTCACATTATATTGAAGTTTCTGTTATATTCCTGAATCTGGTAATCTGGGGTATGTGGTTGGTATACAACTGTGAAGTAAAGCTTAAAAGAGCTGGAACACTGCTTTTAACTGATGCAACTGCCAACTATACCTCTACTGAACAAGTCACTGTTGAAAATATCGAGCAAGTGTTCAGATTTAATACACCATATAATTATGAACTGGCAGCCATCAAACATATTAGTGTCTTCAGCTCACCATTAACTGCTCCGTTTAAAAGTTCCGCACCATATGTTCGCAGTTTTATGCAGCGACAATATCTACCTGTGGACTACCATGCATTTGTTGTGTTTGAAACAGATGGAATGTTTTGGGCTGTTGATAAGATGAAAGATGGGATATTTGTGAGTTGGAGTAAAAATCTCGAATCTGCTGTATTTTACTTCCAGGATCATCTTCGTCCAAAACCTATCCACCTACTGGTTCAAGATGCATCAACTTCTTCACTTATTGACATGGTCCGCCGTTTAAAAAGCAAACTGGATTCGAATAAATACGATCTTGTGGACAGAAACTGCCAACATTTTTCAAAAGAAGTCTTTGATAAGTTTGCAATTGATAAAACATGGGACTTTACTTCTCCAACTGATTTGACAAGCCCTCTCAAACTGTTTAGCGACGGTGGATATCCTTTATTCTTATTTGTGTGGACCGTCTCTGTTTTGTGTGAGCTATTTTTTCTATACAGTGATGGTGCATTATATGAAACTTTTTATCACTATCAGTATGTTGTATACGCAGTACTAGTCACAATTGTCGTCTTGTTCGTTAATGATAGAGAAACGTTTTTGGGGGTGTTTGCTCTGAAATTGCTTAGCTTTCTTTTAATAGAATGCATACTTTGCACACCTCTGGGTACTTTCAGAAAAAGAGGAGGACAATATGCAAAGATGTGGAAATCAGCTTCCACCTTTAACACATTCTGGTTACCGATTTGTTATTTGATGGTTTATGGCATTCCTATCTTTACATTTTCTGCGGTATTGCCACTTATTTTAATAAGTACTGGCTTGTATATACACAAGAATCTGGATACACAAGAAACATCTCTCTTATCGCCTTCACTAAATGTTATTAAATGGATTTGTGATAAGAGTCTTACAGTCTGTGACAAGAGTCTTACAATCCCTTTTTATGTACTATATTATTTAGGTACAATGCTGTACTTCAGTTTGCAAAACTAGATCAAAGATGTGAACTGTTGAAAACTGTTGGGATTCCTTCCATTTGCCAATCTCTCTTTTACCTGTTACAGATATTATGATCTATTATGTAAATGTAAATGAGTAACATCAGACTTCTTATCTAACGAACAATTAGTCGGAGGATTCTATCATTCAATGATGTTTCCAGATTAACTTTCATACCATATCTATTAGTCAATTAACTCATTTATTATAAATTCATTTGCTGTTGTTTTGATTCTGTTCACCCTGATCTTTAAGTCTATGATTATACTTACACTGTATTCGATTCATAAAACTAAAATCGAATCTAGTAACGATCAAAACCTGCCCCATATTCTATTTCATTTTTTTTTCAAAATTTAACCAAACATATTCTCGCCAAAATTTAACCAAACATATTCTCGCCAAAACTAGAATTCTATAACTTAATTAAACATGATTTCGAACCAGAGGCATATCTACGAATTATCAAAATACCTGATGTTCGAAAAAGTCTGACAAGGTTTCGTATCAGCTGCCACAACCTCTACATCGAAAGGGGCAGATACGAAACCCCCCTTGTACCAAGAGAAGAACGTTGGTGCACCTACTGCTTTTTCAGCAAAGGGCTCAAGCCTATTGAGGACGAAAGTCACGTATTGATTGACTGTTTGCTCTACTCCTCAGTTAGGGAAAAATTCAATTTCCATCCCCAAAACATTACTGACCTAGTCGGTTTGCTCTCCAACAAAACTCTAGATCCTACCACACTCACTGCCACAGCAAGAGCAATCCATTCAATTCTCTCTGTGAACGAAAATTATACAGCCTATTATAAGAGCCCAGATTTCCACTCAAATACTGGCAAGTGCATAATGCTATAGGACCTTAAAATAAGATTGAACCATACAAACTCGATTTATCTATTTTTCTAAAACTAGCATTATATAACATTTATAAATTATCCCTACACAGTACACACTTGTAAATAATTAGAATTGTGTAACTTAAATTATTTCAGAATTACAACTATTGTGTACTCAATAAAGTAATTATCACTTTTATATCCTTGTATCCTTGTATCCTAGGCGATGGCATTGCAAGCAAGGTTACTCACTGGAAATATCTGTCAAACGTTTGCACCTTTGGTATGCACACGAGGAATGCTGAAACAGGCACGCCTCAACAAGCTATGTAACTTTACGGGACCTCAGGATCGAGATGACGATGGCTGGGTTAAAATAATCGGTTATTACGGTAAAGACACGACCCCTCATGTTGGAAATGTAGTCAAGGTAAGAGACACCACCCCTCATGTTGGAAATGTAGTCAAGGTAAGAGACACCACCCCTCATGTTGGAAATGTAGTCAAGGTAAGAGACACCACCCCTCATGTTGGAAATGTAGTCAAGGTAAGAGACACCACCCCTCATGTTGGAAATGTAGTCAAGGTAAGAGACACCACCCCTCATGTTGGAAATGTAGTCAAGGTAAGAGACACTACCCCTCATGTTGGAAATGTAGTCAAGGTAAGAGACACCACCCCTCATGTTGGCAATGTAGTCTAGGTAAGAGACACCACCCCTCATGTTGGAAATGTAGTCAAGGTAAGAGACACCACCCCTCATGTTGGAAATGTAGTCAAGGTAAGAGACACTACCCCTCATGTTGGAAATGTAGTCAAGGTAAGAGACACGACCCCTCATGTTGGAAATGTAGTGAAGGTAAGAGACACTACCCTTCATGTTGGAAATGTAGTGAAGGTAAGAGACACTACCCCTCATGTTGGAAATGTAGTCAAGGTAAGAGACACGACCCCTCATGTTGGAAATGTAGTCAAGGTAAGAGACACTACCCCTCATGTTGGAAATGTAGTCAAGGTAAGAGACACCACCCCTCATGTTGGAAATGTAGTCAAGGTAAGAGACATCACCCCTCATGTCGGAAATGTAGTCAAGGTAAGAGACACCACCCCTCATGTTGGAAATGTAGTCAAGGTAAGAGACATCACCCCTCATGTTGGAAATGTAGTCAAGGTAAGAGACACCACCCCTCATGTTGGAAATGTAGTCAAGGTAAGAGACACCACCCCTCATGTTGGAAATGTAGTCAAGGTAAGAGACACCACCCCTCATGTTGGAAATGTAGTCAAGGTAAGAGACACCACCCCTCATGTTGGAAATGTAGTCAAGGTAAGACACCACCCCTCATGTCGGAAATGTAGTCAAGGTAAGAGACACTACCCCTCATGTTGGAAATGTAATCAAGGTAAGAGACACCACCCCTCATGTTGGAAATGTAGTCAAGGTAAGAGACACCACCCCTCATGTTGGAAATGTAGTCAAGGTAAGAGACACCACCCCTCATGTTGGCAATGTAGTCTAGGTAAGAGACACCACCCCTCATGTTGGAAATGTAGTCAAGGTAAGAGACACCACCCCTCATGTTGGAAATGTAGTCAAGGTAAGAGACACTACCCCTCATGTTGGAAATGTAGTCAAGGTAAGAGACACGACCCCTCATGTTGGAAATGTAGTGAAGGTAAGAGACACTACCCTTCATGTTGGAAATGTAGTGAAGGTAAGAGACACTACCCCTCATGTTGGAAATGTAGTCAAGGTAAGAGACACGACCCCTCATGTTGGAAATGTAGTCAAGGTAAGAGACACTACCCCTCATGTTGGAAATGTAGTCAAGGTAAGAGACACCACCCCTCATGTTGGAAATGTAGTCAAGGTAAGACACCACCCCTCATGTTGGAAATGTAGTCAAGGTAAGAGACACTACCCCTCATGTTGGAAATGTAGTCAAGGTAAGAGACACCACCCCTCATGTTGGAAATGTAATCAAGGTAAGAGACACCACCCCTCATGTTGGAAATGTAGTCAAGGTAAGAGACACCACCCCTCATGTTGGAAATGTAGTCAAGGTAAGAGACACCACCCCTCATGTTGGCAATGTAGTCTAGGTAAGAGACACCACCCCTCATGTTGGAAATGTAGTCAAGGTAAGAGACACCACCCCTCATGTTGGAAATGTAGTCAAGGTAAGAGACACTACCCCTCATGTTGGAAATGTAGTCAAGGTAAGAGACACGACCCCTCATGTTGGAAATGTAGTGAAGGTAAGAGACACTACCCTTCATGTTGGAAATGTAGTGAAGGTAAGAGACACTACCCCTCATGTTGGAAATGTAGTCAAGGTAAGAGACACTACCCCTCATGTTGGAAATGTAGTCAAGGTAAGAGACACCACCCCTCATGTTGGAAATGTAGTCAAGGTAAGAGACACCACCCCTCATGTTGGAAATGTAGTCAAGGTAAGAGACATCACCCCTCATGTCGGAAATGTAGTCAAGGTAAGAGACACCACCCCTCATGTTGGAAATGTAGTCAAGGTAAGAGACATCACCCCTCATGTTGGAAATGTAGTCAAGGTAAGAGACACCACCCCTCATGTTGGAAATGTAGTCAAGGTAAGAGACACCACCCCTCATGTTGGAAATGTAGTCAAGGTAAGAGACACCACCCCTCATGTTGGAAATGTAGTCAAGGTAAGAGACACCACCCCTCATGTTGGAAATGTAGTCAAGGTAAGAGACACCACCCCTCATGTTGGAAATGTAGTCAAGGTAAGAGACACCACCCCTCATGTTGGAAATGTAGTCAAGGTAAGACACCACCCCTCATGTCGGAAATGTAGTCAAGGTAAGAGACACTACCCCTCATGTTGGAAATGTAATCAAGGTAAGAGACACCACCCCTCATGTTGGAAATGTAGTCAAGGTAAGAGACACCACCCCTCATGTTGGAAATGTAGTCAAGGTAAGAGACACTACCCCTCATGTTGGAAATGTAGTCAAGGTAAGAGTGAAGAGTATTTTTATACTGTAAGGAACGATGATTTGTGTAAATAACCACAATCACAATCAGGCCTTGATTTGTTGATTGTATATTGAGCCTCGGATATTAATTTCTTATATTTCAGTCTTGAAAATGAAGACATTGATATGTATAGCCCATTTAAGCCTAATTAGCCCCCATTCAGTAGACCTATATGTTTAGGTGCTAGATCCTTTAAATCCTTAATCTTTACAATTTGCACTGTGAAATAATAACTTGTGTTCAGGTAACATATAAAGGCCAGATGTATAAAGCAGTGATAACAGGATTAGTGCGTGACAGAAGAGATTGTCCTCGTTTTGACACAAACAACTGTGTTTTTATCAACGACAAACACGAGCCTTTGGGAACAAGGATAAGCGGCCCTGTTTCCTTAAAACTGAGAAGATATGGAAAATACAACAAACTATTATCATTATGTACTGAGTTTTACTGAAGCATTTTGTTAAATAATGTTGGAATGTCTTTGTAAATAGCCGGTTTGTTATAAGGTTAACTGTGGTTGCCCTTTTAAATTTGTTATCTTTTATTTAAAGGTATTGCACTTATCAACTTGTTTGTGAGGAGATTTTTAAGTGATGTTATCCAATACATTTATATAATATATATTTGATGAGTTTTCCTAGTCCGTTCAGTTTCATTTGGGTGATAAAGATAACATCAAAAGTGTAATGAATAAGTTTTCCTAGCGCTATCGACATTGTCATATTCTATGTCGAAAGCAAAGTAAACTTTGCGCGCACGTATTTTCGTGGCGCCAAAATTTATTCAAACTTGTTTTTTCTGATCCAACACAAATATTTTTACCCGTTAAAGGGAGTTTTAACTTCATATCTTTATTGCAGATAGCATGTCGAAGCAGTGCGATTTGAAGCTACACGAACCAGTTTGTTCGAGCAGAGTGGTTCCGAGATGGCAACGGAAAGAAAACGAAAAATCAAGTCGACCAACTTCTAAATCCAACTCGAACAATGCATCCTTTTCAAGCCAGAGTAATGTTTCCAGCACATTCGGCGAGTCCTTTTCTGGACCTGTTGAATCCAGGAAGACTCCAAGTAAACCTCCTTCACTGACTCTAAACATGCCATACAAGACAACAAACCGCGATGGCACCCCCAAGAAAAAGGTCAGTTCGTCGCTGAAAAATCAAATCAAAGTTGGGACCCCCAAGAAAATGTCCAAGACTCGAGACGGAAAGAGATCCGCTCACACCACGCCTAGTTGTGACAGATTTATCCCCCCTAGAAGTGGGAACAACTTTGAGAATGCTGGTTTTGAACTGTTGAACGATGAAGATGAATCCAAAGATTCTCCCACAACTAGACGGTATAAAGATGGTATGAAACAAAACCT